TTTTTTTTTTTAATATTAGAATTATTTTTTATTAATTAAATTATTACATAGTCAAATGAATCTGAAGATAAACCTGTGGCTAAATCAAATATTTAAACATATGGACAGTAAATTAGTATTATTTCTTCTTCACAGTTAACATTCAAAAGAATGTTTGGTTAACCTAAATTATAATTATCCATTTCAACACTAGTCATATTTTGAATCTATTTTAATTTAATAATTTTTTAATTTATATTTGATAAATAAAAAAAATGTATACTGAAATATAATAAATTGTTTGTGAATCTGTTTTGGCTACCATAATTTTCTACTTTGGACAGTATTAATAGAAAACAATTTAAGAATCTAAATCAAAAATAGTTTTTATTTGAGGATTAGAGTTTACACTATATTAAAAGATTTATTGGCCTTTTACCCACAAAAAGGAAGGTTAATCCCAATCAATAATGGAGATTTATAAGTCAAATTAAATATCTAAATTTATTGAAATAGTCTATTCAATAGATTTTAGAATATCATATATTACTAACTGTTTGTTACTAGCATCATAGAAAGTAATTTAGTTTTATTCTAACTAATTCTGTTAAATTAAATAGTTTTTAGAAATATTTATTATGCTGAATGGATTATTAAATAGATTTGTGTACCAAAAAACTCCATTTTAAGATTAAAAAATCTATATTTATTAATTTTCGTCAGTAGTTATGCTTCCTATATATCTACTATAGTCAACAGAACTATTAATAATGACCATATTGTTTGTTTCTATCAAATTTGTTGACTTTTTAACATACAGTGACTAATTATCTAATGAATAGAAATTAATTTATGAATTTTTATATAAATCTTTATCTGTTTAAGCGTTTAAGTAAGTAATTTATTTCAACTCCATATCAAACCTATAGATATAACTTTAATCATAATAAAAGATATATCTATCGTTAAAATTAATAACAGTACTCAAAGTCGAAGGATAAGATACACCAAATTTAAGCAATTTGTAAGATGATAAATCAAAGCTATATACATAAATTAAA